ACAAAATTATAACACAGTACTACCCACAGAAAAACTTTTTCATTTAAAGGCATGTACATACCCCCTTAAATGACTGAAATAATATAACAAATGTAGCTCTTTCATTTGGTAATTATAGATATATTGACTTCAAAAAGCATATCGACCCCATTTGGTGCCCGCGATATGCTTTTCTGAGAAGTATATATCTATTGATCAACCTCATGAAAGGTTTATTTTTGTATATATTTTATAGCAATTTATCTGAATGCCTGTACTTACTCCTTTGACATGACTAAGTTGATGCCCGTCTTTTCGGGGTGGACCACCATGTAGTTATTAGCACCACCTGCTGGCAGATTATGGATACCTCCAGCTTCTTACCTGGACAAAAGAAATAAAAGGAATTAAACACTTGATAAATTCTAGCTTGTTCATTTTTTTTTTCATTGCACAAATGTTTGCTATAAACAACAACAAAATACATATAAAGGGGAAAAATAACAAAGTTTACCATTAAAATAAATTAATATTATATCTTGTATATATTTGTATTTAATTGCACAAATGTTTCTCTTTAAATATGAATTTTATTTGCATTAAAAAAAAGACTTGTAAAGTGCAAAAATAACAAAATTTTATCATTAAAATAAAATAATCGGGGGAATTAAGCATATAAATTTAGCTCAGATGATCTTTAAAATAAAATCATAAAATTTGTTTTATTTCTCCTGACTCAGAGAAAAAAAATTGTATCACTAGGAATGTAAAAAAAAAATTTTCAATATCAATCCTGACATTCTTAACATATTAATATGTTAAAATTAAATTGAAATATTCGTTGATAGTATGGAATAGAAAAAGCATTTATCCTTTTCCTAAAGTTAAAAAGAGTTTTGAGTTGGGATTTTGTCAGCCATTTCATTGGGAACAGGCAACAATTTTTTTTTTCAAGATGGCCTCAAAATATATTCTGTTAAAAAGTCACTGTATGCAAAATATTGACTTTGCCATTATAATCATATTGGAGGCAGAGGTTATCATTTAGTGAGTTCAGTGCTCACCCAAACCCCTAGTTTAATTAAATATATCATCAGAGAATTTTGAAGAAAAAACATCACGTTAACATTGACTGGCCAGAAATCCCAGACTACCATCTTACCTCTCATGTAAAATGCCACCAAAGACTGCAATGGTGATGACTCCCCGCGTCACTATTCGCACTTGGTGCCACTGTTTACGTTTAGCGTTCAGCTGCTGTACTTGTCGATCTCCGCTATGTGTTTCTTGATTTTCTTCTCCATCGTCGGGATTTAAAAAGTGGATCCCAACCTGTACAGGTAAACCGAATTAGAAAGATACAAAAGTAGATGTAGATTTATTACTACTGTAAATCACTTTTTATTTATGAGAACTTTATTTTCGTGTAATTGCGCAAGACAGTGTGCTCGCGAAAATTTTATTCTTGCGATAATACATTTCTTAAGAAATTTGACAAGAACCACAATTTTTCTCCTAATCAAGAGTCAATGACTTTCTCGTGAAAATAAGGTGTTGCGAAAATTTATATTACAATAATTAAAAAGATACAAAAGCAATCTAGATTTATGACTAATTTTTGTACAGATCTGTAAATCTTAAATGATTTAAATGAATTTTGAGAGGTGATTCTCTCTCTCTCTCCCCCACTCAGCCACTCACTGTCTCTCTCTCTCTCTCTCTCTCTCTCTCTCTTTTTCTCTCTCTTTTTGTGTATGTGTGTGACCATTCTCTGCAGAAATATTGTATAGTACTTATATCAGAGATTAGTGAGAGATTTTAATCATAGTCATCTTTTTGTCATACTTAGATATTTTATAGTTATAACTATACATGTTAAACTGCACAAGTTACCTTTATGAATAAGTCAAGAGGGCTCACCCAAACTTAATATCTCGGGAACATTTACAATTTCAAAAGTTGCTTCTAGTTTTGAGATACCAGTATATGATTATTTCATTTTCTGACTATTACAATATCAAAGTACATGTAGTATTTTCATATCTGTTGAAAGGGCATCTCTGTTCAAACTTTTGCATTCTCTTTTAAATTTAAAATTCCTGTGACTGTTTATCTTTATTAACGTAGCTACGGATAGCGATCCACATTGCATGTGAATTCTAAATTAAAATTTTTCGGTTGGCTTATTGGAAATGCGCATAGTTCAATATGGCGGATGCAAGTTGAAACAACGTGCTCCGAGAAAAGACACGGGAAACGTTATAGGAACGCTCAGCTATAAAGGTAGATCAAGTAAATTAGAGCGAATGAGAGAATATAACATCTTAAGAAACAGAAAAAAATAAAACCTTTTTATGAACTAAAATGTCTGTGTATCGCAAACGCCCGACTAGCACCCCCCATTCCAAAGCAGACGACGCAGCTGGTTTGAATCTCAATCATGATATGACATGGATGAAATCAAAGGGACGAAGATTTGTTGAGATGAGGAACTTGACAAATCAATTTATATGCTCTCAGTCACAGCGATAAAGGCAATCGTTTGTATATTTTCCAAAAACTTTGAAAGCTATGGTGACTCGGTACTTTATTGTATCAATAGATCTACATTAGGCCTACATTTGAATGGGTCTGATAGTACTGTACTATTTATGGATTTATCGACACTTTCCAGGGAAATCCCGGCCCCAAAGGAATACGATGGAGAGGCTTATGATCACTGTTGATATCAACTCAAAAGTAGCTCTTGGTAAGTTATACATACATGTATCTATAATATTTACATGACATACTTTCATACATGTAATAATAGGCCTATTTTAATTCAGCATTAAATTTCACCCTAGTATTAGTAAATTCAAAAATGTAATAAAGGGACTGTCTTTCATTTGATGGGGGTGGGGGGGGGGGGGCAAATTTTATGGGTGTCAGATTATGATTTACAGTGAAGGACAGATAATTTATTTTTCTTCCAAGATCACTGCCAGGGGGCCTAATTTTTGTCAAATTGTCCCAAAAAATTTTTTCTATTAAAAAAATTCCACATTTATAATCATTTAGGGTATTTCGATTCACCTTTAAAGTATTTACATTTTGACTTACAAAAATAATTTTGAGGATAAAACATGTTTGAAAATTAAATTAATTTATCAATAATCATGTAAAGTTTGTGTAAATTATAATTATTTTTGTTGCTCTGAGTGAGTATTTCAGTTTGGTAAAATTTACAGTAGCCCTCCCTGGAATTTAAAGGCATGTTTAGTAGTCCAAACTCAATATTCAGTTGTCGCGTGCCACCGGACTTCCGACTACCCTTAGTGTCGAACCCTGGACAGATTATTTTTGTTTTTTTTACGGGAAAAAACTGTGTCAGTGTGGTAAACATTAAACTGTTTACATGTTGTTTGCTGGTCTGATGAAAATTGACAAATCTTTATATTACTGCTGCTGTATAGTTGGAATATTGGCCAGGCAGTTGGTCATTTTAATTTAATGTTAGATTTACTGGTTAAAAATTGATTTGCCAATCAACTAATATAATTAAATTTTGGTTTTGCTGGTATACATGTATAATTATTTGATCTTTTTTTTTTTAGCCATCAAATTACTTTCTGGAAGGACCACCAACCCATAGCAGACCAGGGGATCTTGATGTCAGCATAATAGTGATAATGGCTAATTCATCATTTAAATTTTGCTATCCCAAAATTTAATAAGTGTAGAAAATTGGCAATTTACATGTATGAGGTGTAAACTTTTGCAAGTTATATATACATATATGTAATATGTAATGGTTTGGGCCATGGATATATATATCTTCCAGGGTAGCTCAGTCTGTATAGCACTTGACTAGTGATGCAGGGGTCTCAGGTTTGTTTCCCCCGGCCCACCCACCCTTTTTCCCTTTTTTCCTGTTACATATACATATTTTTTCACCAAATTCTAATATTAGATATAGACATCGGGGGAAATATATTTTGACGTTGACTGCAGATAATATTGTATTTGTTAAATTTTATAAATTACAGATAAATTGATCAGTACAGAGTACAAGGTATATAATTTGACCATTCATGCTGATTATTTAAATACTGCAGCTCAACGGAAAAATGATTTTCCATCCCTTCCAAAAAAAAGCAGGACAAGAATCGCTTGTGAAAAAAAAACCAAAATATCAATAGACTTTTTTTCAGTTTTTATTACCGGGGAAAAGTATCTCTTGATTGAGTGTTACATTTAAAGTGGAAACTAATCACTCCACATATATAGATTTTTTTTTTCCATTTTTCATATTTAATCTACCCTGTTTTATGTCTGGTGTGGTAATAGATCACTCCACATGCAGCCTTTCATGTTTAATGTACTATGTTATGTTTTGTATATGTCAGTTGCAGTATTACACTGCTGTAGAGTGTAAATTTTTTTAAAAAAAAAAAATGTATGCTTAATGTAATGTCGACTTGTGATGCCGGGTTCAGTAATAGGCCAATCAACAAATTCTCTATTATGCATAATCTACACTGTGGGCGTTTTTTCCCGGGTATTTAATAAGCTGTCCAGATATTATGTAGAATCTTTTTTTTTTTTAAACCCTTTTTTATAAAAAGTCCTGCATCAAATGTTATGTCCCAGTGCAGCATGGTCATTTTGTTTTTAATTTTTAGGGATTTTATGTAATTTTATGTCTCAGGTCAAGGACGGTTTTAGACTAAGCCCATTTTAATTTTTTTTTCTCTGTTTTCTCCAACCTTCAATCAAAAACCTACCACATGTACCTATTTGTAAAAAAAAAAAGAACCAAAAAATAAAACACAGAATGTACATGTATCATGTCTATAGTTTAATAATAGTGTAAATCTGAGGATTTTATTTTATCAATCTGCTTTTCTGGTAGAAATATTATTCTTCAGCAAAATCAAAATAATAAATGCGTAAAATACACCACCTATGGGATATTTATTGTACATATTTGAGAAATTGACAGAACTCAAAGATTTCAACAAAAATAATCAAGTGTAGGCCCGGGTTCTGATTTTGTTTGTCTGATACATGTGGGGTCAAAAAAAAATGCGATTGGATGCCAAACAGAAAAAAGACTTGGAATGGCCTATTAAATGTTATTATCCTACCTTCTCATGGAATAAAATGACTTTTATAATTTTAAAGAGATATCATATTTTTTTTAAAATCCACAATGATATTCTTATTATTTATGGCATAGAAATTTGTGAATTTTGCAGTGCTATGTCAGGTGGATTTCTTTATTCTGTATGACCAAAATGTATTTTGGACAAAGTAGAATGCATTTGTGTTAAAGATTAGGGGGATTTTTACATTCAAAAAAAATATTCAGAGCTAAAAGGAGGGGGTGTATTAGACCATTCTGTAACTTAATAGTTAATTACCTCTTAATGCAGGGAAAATTTCTGAGTGAGAAATAGTATTGGACATTTTTGTCATACAATATATTTTTTTTAGAAATCTATAAGAAAACATAGAATTTGTTTGCATGAAAGTAATCAAAAGGGATCATGTTGAAGAATTTTTAAATGTGTTTTTTTTTTAAAATTTCATTTTTGTTCAAGATCATTGTTGAAATATAAATTCATATTTTAATTTTGTTGAGGAACTTTTTATGGATAATTTCAAATTGATGGTTTAATTACAGTTTTATTGTGAGGGGGGAGGGGAGGTAACTCTTCAAGTTATTACTCTACATGTACTATTATTTTATAAAAATATTTTCTTTAGTCATTTATTACAATTGATTTTTACTTCTGATTTATTTTTTAGTTGTTTTTCCCTTTTCATGCATTTTTTTGAAACTCACTTTAATCATTACTTATTTACGACGGGAAGCCAAAGAGGGGGGGGGGGGGGTTTTTGGGCCATCTGGTACCTTTATTAGCCCTCAATGTGACCAAGATTTTTTGAGTGAAGAATATATTAGACAATTTCCATATAATGATAAAAAATAAAAATTTATTGGAAATTTTTTTTTAGAATTTAAAAAATGTCAAATTTGGGTGCATGAAAATGGCCAAATTAGTCAATTTCAAATGTCCTACATGGATTATTTTTTAATTTTTACATGTTCAACAATCCATTGTTAAAAAGTTAAAGATCAATATTGTTTAAAAAAAAAATTTTTAATATTGAATGCATATTGCACAAAAAATTTTTTATGGGAAAATTATCTTGTATTATGATTTTTGGAGTACTGGGAAAAAGGGGGGTAACTCATTACCCCCTGGTTCCAATTTACCCCCAATGCCTTTCAATTTCAATAAAAGTTCATTACACATTTCTTTAACCCTTTTAAAATTTCAACAAAATCTATTACAGTTTTTTTTGGGGTCAGGTGCCTTTGTACCTTAGCCCCAAATTTGGATCCAATGTCTTTAATGGCACCTGTAAAATCAAAATTTTGTGCTCAGTTTTGCAGATAACACCACTAACCAGGGATTGACATTAACGGTTGTCCATTGCCCGGGACAAGTAAATTCTCAGTTCGGGCAAGTGAAACTATCAATGTACTTGTCCGATCGGGCAAGTGGATATTTCTGATAGAAACAATTTTTTAATCTCACATAAGTTTCTAAACAACACAATAAATTAAACACTTGATTTCCGCCAAAAACGGGACACTGTTATGCATTCGAAATCCCTCGGTAGCGTTTCTGGATCTTACCTTTATTCAGAAATCGGGTTCGTTTTTCTGTTTTCTTTCCTAGTTTAAAAAATACGATTATCTGTCTGACAACTTACATTACAGTCTTATTATGAAATAGAGATTACAGAATACTTTCTCTACCCAATTAAGGAATTATATGAAGAACGCCAATTATTCACGAGTGCACGATGTATCTTGATTCAAAACATAACAACTCTCTTCCTTCTGGCTTCACCTCAGCTTTTTAGAGGAAAAATTACAATTTCAAACAAAGATCGTAAGAAAATAATATTCCTGCAGTACTCTGTGTGTTTTCAGGATAGTTAAATGACAAGAAAATGATTTACATACATGTACATTTACAAATGTAGCATCACCATCATATCAACATTTTTTTCCGACAGTTAACTTCAAAATAGAGATTAATTTGTCAACTTTTATATTTACAACTAATTAAGGTACAATAACTGGTTTTTAGCTCACCTGAGCTGAAAGCTCAAGTGAGCTTTTCTGATCACATTTTGTCCGGCGTCCGTCTGTCTGTCCGTCTGTCTGTAAACTTTTCACATTTTCGACTTCTTCTCAAGAACCGCTGGGCCAATTTCAACCAAACTTGCCACAAAGTATCCTTGGGTGAATGGAATTCAAGTTTGTTCAAATGAAGGGCCACGTCCTCATTCAAGGGGAGATAATTGGGAATTAATGAAAATTTGGTGGCGTATTTTAAAAATCTTCTTCTCAAGAACCACAGTGCCAGGAAAGATGAAACGTATGGGGAAACATCCTCAGGTAGTGTAGATTCAAGTTTGTTCAAATCATTACCCCCGGGGGTAGGGCGGGGCCAAAATGGCCGACCAAAGTATTACATAGAAATATATAGGAAAATTCTTTAAAAATCTTCTTCTCAAGAATGACAAAGCCATAATTCATCATATTTATATGAAAGCATGTTCAGGTTGTGTAGATTCAAGTTTGTTCAAATCATGACCCCCCGAAGTAGGGCGGGGCCAAAATGGCCGACCAAAGTATATAGGAAAATTCTTTAAAAATCTTCTTCTCAAGAATGACAAAGCCATAATTCATCATATTTATATGAAAGCATGTTCAGGTAGTGTAGATTCAAGTTTGTTCAAATCATTACCCCCGGGGGTAGGGCGGGGCCAAAATGGCCGACCAAAGTATATAGGAAAATTCTTTAAAAATCTTCTTCTCAAGAATGACAAAGCCATAATTCATCATATTTATATGAAAGCATGTTCAGGTAGTGTAGATTCAAGTTTGTTCAAATCATGACCCCCGGAAGTAGGGCGGGGCCAAAATGGCCGACCAAAGTTTTACATAGAAATATATAGGAAAATTCTTTAAAAATCTTCTTCTCAAGAATGACAAAGCCATAATTCATCATATTTATATGGAAGCATGCTCAGGTAGTGTAGATTCAAGTTTGTTCAAATCATGACCCCCGGGGGTAGGGCGGGGCCAAAATGGCCGACCAAAGTTTTACATAGAAATATATAGGAAAATTATTTAAAAATCTTCTTCTCAAGAATGACAAAGCCATAATTCATCATATTTATATGGAAGCATGCTCAAGTAGTGTAGATTCAAATTTGTTCAAATCATGACCCCCAGGGGTAGGGCGGGGCCAAAATGGCCGACCAAAGTTTTTAAAGATATATATAGGAATATTCTTTAAAAATCATTTTCTAAATAATAGCAAATCCATGATTGGTCATGGGAGTACGTTTGGATTTAAACTTTACAATAAAAAGCCATTTTCTACTTTTTCCTACCCTTAGTGTTTAGGTGAGCGATGTGGCCCATGGGCCTCTTGTTTTCTTAAAAAATTTTGGGCAACCAAATTTTGCATTCGGGCAAGTCAAAATTGTAGTTCACTTGCCCGAAGGACAAGTGGAAATAAAAGTTAATGTCTACCCCTGCTAACTATTTTTCAAGGTCATGTTATGACCATGTAGAATATATTTTCAATACAATTGAACTTTTGTATCTCAACCAATAATGTCAACCCAAAATAGGTTTGAAGTTTTTGAACACATTTTAAATTTATCCTTAAATGTTTAAATGTCTAAGTTTTGTTGGCCTAAAATTATCTCATCAAAGCACTATCGAGGTTTGTGTCAACTCAGTAGTGCAGTGACAGGATAACGTAATGACAATGATAGCATAAAAGTAGAAAGCAATGGCATGAGACTGCGATAACAATAAAGCAATGGTACTATGACAGTGATGTTCACTTTTGTTCCATCATGCCATTCCACCATTGTCATTACATTGTTACGTCATATTGAGTCGCTCTTCATCACTCTATCGCATTCTAGTGTCATCGTTATAAAGCCAATACTTACCTAGATTATTCTGTTGGAAAATTGAGCCTAGGTTTATTGAGGAACCTTCAGTTGTTTTCTGTGTCTGAAAATAAAAATTAATATGAATCATTAAAATGTTGCCTCATTTTTTTTCTGCTTACCGGTAATTTAAAAATTATAACGTATTTTTAAATAAACATGCTCATAAAAATTAAAAGCATAAAAAAATCAACATATCAATCTAAAGGTACTTGGACACAGATTTGAAGTTATTATTTTCTCTATAATATTACGACTTATATATTTTAATAGCATTTCACACAAAAATTAATTAAAAATCTTATTTCATATAAAAGATATTAATATTTCAAATTTTTTGGCGGGTTTGATTTAAGAAATGAATGTAATATTTTTTCCTTTGATTCGATGTATCAAAGAAAATTTGGACGGAAAACTTCATCAATGCGCATAGCGCATTGATGAAAAAGTTTTCCGTCCAAATTTTTCTTTGATACATCGATCAAAGGAAAAAAATATTACAATCATTTCTTATCATTTAATTTTTGATTTTAAATTAATAAAGTGAAACTTTCTTTCACTTTTCTATTAAATTTATGCATCAAAAACAGTGCGCACGAATTCATCACAACGTTAACGTTGCTGAAATTCAAAAGGGCTCAAACGAAGAAACGTTCTCAAATATTGTCGTGTCATTACCAACATTCTCTGAAATAATTTATAGTTCTTTAACACAAAAAAAAACTTACCTGTTGTGTTATCCCAATGGGTATATTTTCCCCGGTAAGTTATCTAAGTTCGTAAATGTCAGGGGAAGCTACTCAAATATCCTAACAATTCTAACGTTAGGTCACAGGAATTTTGGATTTCATTTGCACATCTTTTCAACTGAATTTCAAACCGAACATATAAATAAGTATCACAACCTGTCAATGCTGTAAAGCCTGAAAGAGTCTGCTTCCGACTGTTTAAGATAAAAAAGAATTCCGTCCTCATTCAGGCAGTGTCATTTTTCTCGATCATTCGTTTCCCAAGATTGAACAGGTTTGGTCTAACGGTTTTCCCTGCTTTTAGCATTTAAAAAAAAACATTTCTTCAGAATTCTGTTGTTCTTACCAGATATCTCAAAGCCGAACATTTAACAAAAGTATGTCGATTTCTTTCCTTCTTTCCCAAAACTGTATTGTTGTTATGCAGACGATTTGATTTGTTTAGCAAAGGGGGATAATTCAAAACGAAACGAAAGTAGAAAATAAGTCAGGAACGTAACGGAGAGGTTTCGAAATTCAGGAAAATATTTATTTATTTAATTAAAGGTATTCAATTATTCCTTCAAAAAGTAAATCTGGAAGGGGGAATATACATGTAAAGACTGCCAAAGTAGTTCTGGCTGCTTAGTGTAAGCGAACTCTAGATTTTATTGATGCAGTTATCAAAACAATTTTTTATCCAATCAGAATCAAGTATTTTATAGAAATTAAATGATTGACACATCCTTGCACCTTTACAAATTAATTTTATTCTTGATCCTCAAGAAAAGTGGCAATCTCGTTGTGTATAAATGAAAAAATCAATACTATTATCCAGAAAATTCAGAGTAGACATGTTCGAAAGCAAAACAAACACACAATATATTGTCAGTCCGTGCAGTTGTGGTAAGCAGACTGTGACGATTTAGAACGCACCCGGTGAATTCTAAACATAAACAAAAACAGAACTCGTGCCCTGTTTACAAAAACTGTGTACATAACACGAGTGTGCTCGATTTGCTAAACTATGTACGCAACTCTTAGTTTGGAATGACGATACTTGTTAAGGAGTTTTGCTTTCTAACATCTCTACTCTGAATAAAATTATTTTTCTTGATAAAAGTTTTAATATTTCTCATTAATACACAACAAGATTGCCACTTTTCCTAAGGATTAAGAATAAGGTTTAAATTTGTGAAAGTGCAAGCATATGCCAATCAAACCCGCCGAAAAATTTGAAGTTTAAATATCTTTTATATGTAATAAGATTTTTAATTAATTTTTGTGTGAAATGCTATTAAAATATATAAGTCGTAATATTATAGAGAAAATATTGACTTCAAATCTGTGTCTAAGTACCTTAACAAACAAAAAATTGACACAACAAATCTAAATAAGAAACATTTAAAACACTTACCTCAATTTGAAAATAAATTGGATGAGAATCTAGTAAGTTTTTATAACTGTAAAGTGTGAAAATTTCCCACATACATATTTTAGTGGAAATGTATTGGCGCAGGTAAATTTTAGGACCTCCACTTGTCATTAAAATATTATTTAATGTTTTATACTTTTTTCCTTTGATCTACACCCATAATTTTTTTTGAGGTCACTAAAGCACATAAATTTGATTTCTAACTCATGTATACAAGTGAACATTGAACAATCAAACTTGATATGTTTAATCAACTAGAACACTTCCTTGAGTGAAATTCAATGCTTTTAGATGTACAGATGTAGTAGATGTTACTTTTTTTGTAGTATAAAATGATAATCAAGATGAAAATGCACTATTTCTACTTTTAATCAGAATCACCCTTACTTTTCGTCTGTCAGACCGGCTCCATCTGTGTCTCGATTCTCCAGTAGCTGTGACATAATAAACTCTCTGTCCCCATCTACACGTACAAGACACACCCAAAGGTCTGCTGAATATAGTGTGTAACTGAGAAATGGCTCGCTCAATCTATATAAATAAAAAGAGGTTCACTATGCACGTAAAAATATATCACCTTCACTGGTCTTCAAGGTAACACTATTATAGGAAACCCATCTTTTCTGCCTTTTTCTTGTGTAATTCACATTTAAAAATTAATAACAAATTTTGCTTCCCGATGCTGAGTTTGAAATATTAAAAAAAATAATAATAAAAAAACAACTACAGCTTGTTATTTTACCCGTAAACAGGTGGATTACATAAGCCTAAATCCATCATTTTTTTCCATCCAGATATATGAATACTATTTACCTGTAATTGTCGTGAAGTCATTTTGATATACTATAACATCTGCATTCCAACATTTCATCTAGATGTGACGATTCTTTGTTTCTCTCTTGTCATGCAATGAGCACATTTTCATCTATCATCGACCCAAATCCGAGCCATGAATTCTCATCGGAAGTATATCTGACCATGAAGTTGGCGAGTCGATAACAAGCGGAAAATTTTATTCCGTATTTACTCTGACAGCGGGCACTCGGAGTTCCTCGGATGACTCGTACCTCGTACATATGGCGTCATTACTTATGAAAATATTCAGTTCTTCCTTAAGAACATAATTGAATATATCTCCATCAAAGTTTGATTTGGGGGGCAAATATTGGTTATTACTGAATAAAGTTCTTTAAGCAAAAAAAAGCATACTCCCAGGGTGCGACTATCATCAAGGCTTGTGAACCAGTGCACACTCTGTTTTATCCATGCTATTAAAAGGAAGCTCTAAACACTAACAGAAACTGCTTTTTGGACTTAGAGAAACATATATCATAATAAAGGTGTGCATATTGAAACTTTTTCATTCATTTTCAACACAGGGTACGTGCCTTATTTCTGCAGGAAAAATGTTCAAAGACAATGGGCTATTTTGTAAGCAGAAATCACTGCTGTTGACTTACATTGGGAAAATTTATATAAATGATGATTTCATTTACTAATTATTGGTCTAATATAATGCTAAAAATATTTTAATCTTTTACAAAATGTGTAATTAATTATAAATAACAATTTTAATAATCTTTCTTCTAAGGGCAGATCACTCTAACTGCATAACACTACCTCATAAGTGTAGCTCCTTAGTGCACAGTGTTTAGAGCGTCCTGAAAGCGCATTAATTTTGGATTTACACGACATCACACATGAGGTGCACGCATAGATCTTCCGTAAACGCGCTACTACTTGTAAGTTGACATGTACACGTACTGTACACAGGGCCTAGTCAGTTTGAAATTTTGTCCCCCGCTTGAAAAGTGGGGGATATTAATTTGGTTTTGTACGTCCGTCCGTCCGTCCGTCCGTTTTTCTGTCTGTCTGTAACGCATTCGTTTCCACACGATTTCTCGAGAAACCCTTGAGCTTTCGCAATGAAATTTTGCATAGCAACTCCCTATGGACTAAAGTAGAACCTATTGATTTTGAGGTCAAAAGGTCAAAGGTCAAGATCATTAATTCGCAAATTCTCTCTGTGATAATAACAAGTTCGTTTCCGCGCGATATCCCGAGAACCCTTCGAGCTTTTGCAATGATATTTTATTTAACAGCTCCCTGTGGCCTAAGGAAGACCCCTATTGATTTTGAGGTCAAAAGGTCAAAGTTCAAGATCATAAATTTATACATTCTCTCTGTGTGTAACACTATCCTTTCCGGGCGATATTTCAAGAAGATTTTGAGCCTTTGTAATGTAATTTTATACCAAAACTCCCTAGACCCTCTTACCTCCCTCAAAGTGTCCCACCCTGTTTGTTATCAGTATTACATGTCGCTATATTTAGCACAGCTTCATGAAGAGAGTTATTACGTATAAAACAGATTCTCGGCGGACTTTATATTCTTATTACATCTATTAGAACTGTTTGATAAAATTTCAAATGTACCGTAGCGCAAAAGAACATGTGTTATTTCTATTTCCAACTATGATATGTGAAAAGAGTCGGATAGACATTGAAAACTCATGTCTAAGACTCTTCATATCTGAATCCAGTGTCTTTAAATTTATGCATTGCGTTACAAGAAAATGCGTCGAGAGGACGAGGCAGGTGCTTAATTTAACTTGAACTTGAATGAAAAACGTCAAATTTTCACGAATTCTTTTTTTTAAAGCAGGCTGTTTAAATCATTTGCCTCTTAATGACAGACATATTAAATCGATTTCATAATCATATACACTGTACTCATAAAGCATTTCACCTACTTGCATTTTCTCTTTTTCCTACTGACATGCTTGTTTAGAATGTTTATACAAACTTCCTTCATTAATATTCCTGAAAGGGCATAAGTCACTGATTCTCAAATTATAGTCTCAATTCGCTTTAAAAAATGTACCGTGTTTTAAGTAATATAAAATTTCTTATAAATTTTATTTTCTGCCAGTCATATGAACCATTGTTGGTTGTTGATTAAAATACAACAATTGTTTGTTGTAACTTGAATGATTGTCTTAGGAGAAAATCACATTTTATACAAGAAATCGATATTTACGTTACTGTCGCCGATCATCGTGTAGTTTTTATTTTAAACCAAAAAGAAGTTTTAAATCACTTACATACTTTTTCTTAGTAAGATTGTCCTACATTTGAGTTATATTTTCTGAATATCACACCCACCCTAAACACATATGCGTGTCACAAATTTTTAAAAATTTTAATATATTTATCAAATTTTGATGTCACCGCAAAATCATTACTTTTCTATTTGAAATTCAAAAGGACTTGAAGGATTGCTGAACTGACTCAATAGGATTAAGTTGTAATTTTTTAACATCATGAACACTTTTTCTATTGCATGGAATTGTAAAAAAAAAAGACACTGTTTATCTGTATTTATAGAAAATTGCCCCCCTTTTCTTACGAGTCCAATGGTTAAAAAATTCATCGATATTTACATGTTAGTATTTATTCACAAATTAAGTAAGAGAACTACACTGTTTCTTATGGGTCAAATTGCCTTACACTCAAGCACTAGAATATGCCTTTAATTAACAGTGGAATAATTAAACAACAGCATTAAAAGTTATGATAAATCTAAGAAAGATATTTACGTTACCGATATTTACGTTACCATTATTTACGTTACTATGTTTTAAAGTAAATTAGAATTAAATTATAAAGCTGTTTGAACAGATTTGCGAGTGAATTTTAATGATTTAAAAACTAAAAACATGAATAAATACACTGTTTCTTAAAATAGCATTATTTTCTGTAACAAGAGTGCAGAAATGCAAATGGAAGTGCACATGCAAAGGTGAACATTTTTTTACACAATATATTGTGCATCAGTGTGATTTGAAAATTTAATTGACATAATATTATTCACAAGTAGAATTGTGGTTTAATGATCGAATGTTTCCATTTTGAGCGATTGGTTAATATTGCATAGCTTTATGTGTAATACATCATTCAGAACGTAAATCTGAAACAAAACTTTCTTAAAGTTTGTATTTTGCTGTTTGTTTGAACTCATAGTGTATCATCAACTTAAAAAAATCGTAATATGTATACCAAGCTAAACATTTTGAAGAAGAAAATATCATTGTTCGTAGGAAATATAATTCCACAGAATAGGCGCTGCGCTGCCTGGGGGGGGGGGCTTCCACATCGGGTTAAAGAAAAAAGACGGCTGTAGGTGTTGGGTGTCAAGAAACTGGTCGAAATTGAATCCATTTCCATTTTTGTTGTAGAAAATACATGTATTAAATTGTGCACCTGATTGTTGCTTAGACATACATGTAGAACTTAGAACGTATGCGTATATGCTTTAATGGTACTGAAAATTCAATTCATATTATATTAATGTAGAATGTACGTATATTGCTCTATAGAGCACATATTATGTGAAAATGTAATTATTAACAAACCTTTTTAAGGGTGGTGGGGGTAACTTGTTTTGTTTTAGAGATTTGACGATAAAGTTTTCACAAGCAAACAAGCATTTGAAATAATCAACAGATTAAATGGTGGAAGGGGGGATGTCATAAATTAAATGATTCCTCTACAGATAAGTAATAACTTGAATTTTCAATTCAACCCTTTGTCAAGAACACAGATAAGAAAATTCATAAAATTCAATAATTTGAAATAATATATTCATTTTTCCCTGAACATACTTTTATTTTTGTATGATATCTATGTGCGATATTTACGTGATATTTAACAAACACTTCAAAATCAGGTAATGGCGAAATATCTTACCTTCTGATATTTTAAATAATGTGCGTTTCTCTGCATAGATTAATAAAGAATCAAATAATGTAGTATTTTAGGTAATATTGTCATTATTTAGCTTATCGTCAGATTTGATAAAAACCTTTTAAAATAAAAAGAAAATAATTTCATTTAAGTGAAAATTATGCCTGTTTTGTTTTTACTGATAATTGAATCAAAGATTCCACACCCTTTTACAAATGTGCTTAAACGGTTTCATAAATGTTTATAGATAACAAAGTTCGATGTGTATTATCTTGATTTTGTATTTTTCAAAAAAATTCTTTCGTTTCCAAATATGGCTTTTCAACATCACGTAAATATCTTGTGTGAAATTTGCCCTCCAACTGCATTCATTTCGAAGGAGGTCAACAAAACACAGTATGAAGTATGTAAATGAATTTGTGATTTTTAATAACTATACACTTTCATGTTTCAAATGACATATAAAAGTGTTAGTTTCAGTTCACAATTTTTTTTTACTTTTCCCAAAGTCGATTTGGCACTATAAATTGAGAATGCATGAAGTACTTTATTGCAAATTCTTCTAAATTGCTTTATTATTACAAGGACTTGTTACAAAATTTATAGAAATTAACATAACACGTTTTTCAAGTATGTCAAAAAAAATTGCGTGCATCTCTTTAATTAATCAATATTTGTTTCCAATGAGTGATATTGAAAATGGCGAGTGACTTTGTACAAGTTGTGTTCCGCTGAATAAATGGCCTTATTGCATAATCAAGTAACAGAAAGCGGAAAATAACACGCCAGCTTTGCAAAATGCATACCTTAACAGCCATACAGTAAGAATTTCCTTAACAACACATGCAGAGTAAAAAGTTAAAGAAACATATGTATACCAGGAAAAATACTTAAATACTAGACATAATTTTTATTTGATGGAGTAAATATCTGAATTATATTAATTTTTTTTGTTCGAAAATAACAATTCCGTTGAAATATTAGTAAATTGAACAGAATCAAAATCATGATTTTGTTTTAAGTCATAAAATGATGCATAAATTAAAAAAAAAATAGCCAAGACTCTCTCCCCTCTCTCTTATTATAATAGGGAAATACTATGACCAGCAATTAAAAGATAAAACCTTCAATTAGGTAGAATTATGCGGAAATCTAACATTGTGGTTGATAAAATGGAACAAACAAGGAAGCCCTAATGCCTTTACAACAGTGCAGCAGCTTTGCTTTCATCTTTTGAAGC